ATGTAGTCAATCACTCGATTGATTACCAGTTGAAAGTTCATCATGCCTCATCAATACTGGGCAATCAAGCATTTCACACTTCAGCGAATACCGCTATCCCCAGTAGTTGATGGTATGTTATGCCAGACCTCTGAAAGTTTTGAGCGTTCCCTCAGAGATCAGCGATGTTGTTGTCCTGATGAAATGTTCTGATGGGTTTGAAGTGTTGAACCCAGAGGGTACCACAGGGAACTTACCGCCGACGCTTGCTGAGTGTTGTCACGGCGATATCGTGGCGAAGATGGCGCATGCTCGTCACGGCATTCTGAGAACAGTGGACTGGCAGTTTTCTCTTATATGACTAGGACGGTAGAAAAGTGGAAAGGGTCAAACGATGAATAGCTGAGAATACTAGGGCATAGAAGTACGGCGAAAAACATATATAGCAACGGGCTGGCCGGAGCGGTTGTCAGTCCTGAATTGACCACTAGGCGTGCGTAGAGTTAGCGCCATCGCATGACCATGCACTACCTCACCACATCTCCGAAAAGTTCTAGGATTGTATTCCAGCAAGTTTAAGAATAATAGTTACTCATCTATAATCACAACTCAAATAATGTCGGAATCTTTAGGCGCTTCCGACCATGACATGGCAAACAGGGCTGGCTACCTTCATATGTGTAATAATCATATGTGCTATGTTCATCAATCATCCGGCTACCATTCTATTTGTATCAATCTCAATCCTTGCCATTTGTACAGGTACGATTTGCTTTCCAAAGTCTTTCCAGTTTGCTTAATTGTGATTGCGCCCTCGCCCGGTAAACGTAACTTTCGGGATCGGAGTTTGCAGGGCGTACTGTAGCGATTCCATATCAAGCCACATAGGTCCATGCCGCGCATGTGATGTCGCTTTCGTATAGTCACAGTGAGGATCGCCTGACCCGCTTTCATCCCAGTCCTTCCGTGACTATTGTCCCATCGTCTTTTGATTTGAATCTGCAATGCTGTAACAATCCTGTTTGTCTGCATCCTTTTTTAAATCGTGTTTCAGGAGTGTTCGGTTATATGTCCCTCTTTGGTGTGACACTCGATCCCATAGTGATGTCCATTTCGATTATGTGCGTTGGCTTCAGTGTCGATATACCGGCTCATGTGTCATTCCATTTCCATGCGTCAAGTGAGTTTTTTTTCCACAACCAGTAGACCCTTCCCGCTGTGCAATGTACGCACGCTCATCACACTAGGCACATTAGATCGGGACTGGCGTGTTGTAATTGTTCAAAAATTTTTTTGGGTTTTCTGCCCTACCTACTGCCCTTATTGCTCACGTTCATGATGACCTCCTCTTAAACGGACCACCTCTTTTTCATCATAAGCGCCCCGTCACATTCTGATTTTTTTCTCACGTGGATGCGACACCATGTAATGTGCCCCGTGGTGATCGATGCTGAGTCTCTCGCCCATCTCTCTTCATCTCTTAGCGCACTCGTAATGCTCGGGGTGGGAGGGCTACCAGACTCATCCCTTGTGCATGGTGTTTCGAAAGCCTGAATGCAGACAGCAAGGCAGCGAAAGACGGAAAAATGTGTGGCCAGCCAGAGTTGGGGTTTTTCAAGGGGAGTGGACTAACGGCTGGTGACTCACCACTTATCCTAAGTGGAAACGTGGAATGTGTGAGGTCACATTGCTGAACGCCGCGAGGCAATAGAGTGCATAGAAGGGCAGAATTGAGGCGTGACTGAACGATTGAGATCAACCTATCCATAAACCTGGTCGAAAAGGTCTTTATTCAGTGCGTTTCTGACGAATCATCCCATTCTTCAGGAACACATGTGATGAAACGATCAACTTGCTCAACACTAGCGTCTAATGGTGGAGAAGTTTCTAGTCCGGGAAAAGTTGATGAAACGTACTTCAAATCGAGGTGAGTGTCGAATACCAGGGAGAAAAAAGAGCAAATCCTCATGCACTCGTGAACGTCCAAGATGTCCTGCTATTGAAAGTCAACTTTTTAAGGGTTACCTCACAAATCACTCATTTCAAACAAAAAAAAAACTCGAAGTTATCCAAAGCTCTGCGTTCGGGATCTCTCAACAATCTCAGCACTCAGCTGTGGAGCGGAGACGGCCTCGAACCTCATACGCATGCAATCACTAATGTCTTTTTCTCAGCATATCCATTTTTATGTGTTGTAAACAAAATTAATCGTGTAATTTATCGCGAGTTTCACCACAAATTCACTCCGTGCAAAATAATTTCCATTAAGAAAGACACGGAGAAATGATCAGAAAATAGGGGATAATAAATCTATTCGTCCTCATGATGGAAATCATCGGATGCCAGCGGAAGCTGATAATCGTTCCGAAATTGCGCACTAAAAGAAAACAATCTACTAAATTGTCCGATGTTGTCTGTTTGGTCAGGAATTGATACCTCCCTCAGATTTGAGATTTCAAATTGATAAATGTGAAAGGTGAAGTGGCGGAAATATTACCACAGGTGACGAAAGTCACAGCGACCGATAAGAGGGGAAAAGATGCGCTAGAAGCGGGAGTGACTGCGGTCACAGCGCGCCACAATAACAGTGAGACGTTGGTCACAAGAGGTTGCATAGGGGAATCGGATGGGGGAATCAGTGGTGAGTAAAAGGAAGTGATAGCAAGCAACTGTTCACAACTTTCGAAGGTCGTTAAGGGGGGGGGGTCATCAGACTTGAATTCAAAGTTCCAACTCAAGTCGAAGCGTTAGTTACACTTACATCAATGGAGCTAGGATTGTATCTATTGACAAAAAAAGTGAGCGGAAATATTGGCTGTTGATGACAGGAAGAGATATAATTATAGATTTGGGCAACAATGCCAAGTTCACACTGCAAAATGTGCTTCACCTCTTACGAAAACAACACCTCTCAAACAGCTCTAATATCAGACGCTCAGTAATTGATGCGCAGCTCATTCCCCACTCCTTTATCTGTGGGGACGTGATATTCGACCGCTAAATCAGCTGGATTGCAGCTGCATGGTGGACGTTTGGGGAGTTGCGACGAGCAGCAACACCACTGATAAGTGAGTGTCAAAGATCCGCAACATTTACGTACCATTTAAAGGGTCAAGTTGTTCCATTTGAAGGGTCCAGTTTGTTTGTTTGTTCCAACGCTGGAGTGCATGCGGGCGTAAGGCTCTCCTGTGGAAGGGGATGCATGAAACCGCAGCGAGCTTCGGCAGCAAGTACACATGGAATTGTGAAGCGCATAGGCAGCTGATTTGACAGCCTTCTCAGACTTTCCCGTTGGTTGTGGGCGTAATTTTGCCGTCAGCTCAGAGAAAAGAACGTACGAAGGGAAAGATTCTGGCATCACTCACAGGACAGGACACGCCAGATGGTACATGGTCTAAAATTCAAGCATATTTCGTTCTACAAGGAACAGTCATTACGTTAGCTACTAGGACGCTAAATGAACATTCTGGCACTGGAACTAGTACTAAAGTGCATACTGTAGGAGAATTACATGAGTGCATATCAAAGGAGAACACTTGGTAAACAGCGCAGTAATGGAACATAAGTAAATCTGGTGAAGAAGTTTCAACGAACATTTATAGCTGGTGAATTGATCAACGAACAATGAGCTGTCGAACGGTGCAGCAGTACAGCGTACAGGGTGGGAAAACATACTAGTGCGACACTATTTATGTAAATATAACAGGCGGGAGGACAGTATTGGCATGCTGGGTAATATCAAGGGTATTATATCGTCGATC